GTCTCAGGCTCAGTGGGCAGCTAGAGTCTATCAGTCATGAGAGAGCAGTCCAGGCAGGCCATGTCCTTTGTCCTCAGGTCAAGAGAGGGTAATATCAGACCTTCATCCTATCTATGTCTAATGCCTGCTTCAGCCCTTACTCCAGGAGACCTTGCCTTTCTTAGGGGCTGTGAGGGACCAGAGAGTAGTTTAGCAAGCTTTGTTAATAGTCTAGCAAGTATTCCTCAGGCATCCTCATGGTGGGAACTAAAGCATTACTGACAAATTCAGGGAATGTTCTAGTACACGTCCCTATCTAACCCAAGGGAACTAAAGGAGCTGGTGATGGAATGTCTTCCTTTAAGTACTTAGTGCTTTTTTCCCTCTTCCTCAGAAAAAGTAAAGAAGCATTTTCAGAGCCTTGCCAAGCATGCATCCACTGCTCATCTTGGGGCCAATAGGCTTTGTGTTATCTCATAGCTCCAACTTCACCCCCTTTGCTGTCCTGGGTTATGCCGGAGCCTTGCTCTGTGAATGTTTCCTTGCCAGAAGGCACAGTCTTGAGCCTTGTCGGTAGAGGAGGTGGAGAACCCCAGAGGAGGAAGGGCTTCGGGATCTCCCGGAACGCTTTGTTTGCCGCTTTTCCTGGAGCTTCCAGCTTCGGCTGAAAACAACACAGGGAAGCAGTTGACACGAAGCTGCTCTCCACCAGTGTGTGATCAGGCGAGGTGGCCACACCTGCAATCCCCACACTGGGGAGGAAGAGGCGGGAAGGAAGGAGCAGAAAAGTTCAAGGCCATCCTTGGCTGCATAGGCTAGCCTGGGATACACGAAACCTTACTTTTTATTTATTTGTTTTTAAATTTTGTTGTTATTGTTGTTTGACCACCCTGGCTGGCCTGTATCTTGCTATGTAAACCAGGCTGGCTTGGAATTCATGGAGATTCACCTGCCTCTGCCTTCGAAGTGCTGGGAATAAAGGCATGCACCACCACACATGACTGAGACCCATTTTTTTTACAAGTTGTTAATTTTTTTTCATTTTTCTTTATTAAGAAAATTTCTACTCACTTCACATACCACCCACAGATCCCCCCTCCTCCCTCTCCCACCCACCCCCAACCCTCCCTCCCAAGCCAACCTGCATCCCTACATCCCCCAAATCAAGGTCTCCCATGGGGAGTCAGCAGAGCCTGGCACACTGAGGCTAGGCAGGTCCAAGCCCCTTCCCACTGCACCAAGGCTGTGCAAGGTGGCACACCACAGGCTTGGTTATTAAGATTATAAAGAAGCCAGAGTGCAGGGGCATCTCACTGTGCTAGAACGGTCACCAGAGTAGACCAGTCCAGGCACCCTCTGGACCACTGCCAGCACTCCCAGGTGGGGTCATCCTTGTGGATTCCTCAGAGCCTCCCCAGCACCCTGCCTCTTCCTATTCCCATGATGTCCTCATCTGTCATGGTATCTTCCTTCCTGCCCTCCCACTCTGTCCCTGTTCCAGCTCGACCCTCCCATTTCCCTATGTTCTCAACCCTCACTCCTTGACCTCTGCCACCCCCCACACCCAGTCCACTCATGTAGATCTCATCCACTTCTCCTTCACAGGGTCCTGCATGTGTCCCTCCTAGGGTCTTTTCCTCTTAGCTAGCCTCTCTGGAGCTGTGGGTTGCAGTCTGGCCATCCCTTCCCTCACATCTAGTATCCACTTATGAGTAAGTACATACTATGTTTGTCCTTCTGAGTCTGTGAGACCCATTTTTTAAAAAATTAAATCATGTATTAATCTAGATGCGGTGGTGCACAAATATAATTTCCAGCACCTGGGGTCTGGAGACTGAAGACCAGGGGTTCATGGCCAGCCTTGGCTAAACTACAAATTCCATACTAGCCTGGGCTATGTGAGACCCTGTCTCAAAAACAACAAAATACAGGAGCCAGAGCGATGGTTCAGCAGTTAAGAGCATTTCCTGTGCTTGCAGAGAGCTTGAGTTCTGTTCCCAGAACACATGGTGGGTCACACCCTCATTAATCCCAGTTCCAGGGGATCCAAAGTCCTCTTCTGACCTCTGTAAAACACTATAAAGAACGGCATAAAGCGGATTCTTCACAGCTTTGACAAAACTGCAGAGCTGTTCTCAGCTGGCCTCCTCCTTCCTCATAACAGTGGTACAGTTTATGGGAGGATGGGGCAGAAGCCAGGAAACCTGCATGTGTGGATTCAGCTGAGGGTCCCAGTGACTTGAGCTAGGAGATAAGTCATAAAAATCATAAATCCAGCCTTTGGATTCTTGTTGCATGGGAAAGGGTCCCAGAGAGGTGTCTCTGTCCTTGGCATATTTCCTGTATGGCTTTGGGACTGAAAAGGACAATTGTTTTGTCTAATTCCAATTTCTAGGGAGGCCATCACTATATCCCTTTTCCATCCATTACTCAGTGGGGATTTGGCATGCTGTTTTGTCTAGTTGGCCATCTACTGCAGATTTTGCATAGATTCCATCAAGGCCACGGAAAGCATATGTAAAAAGAGACAGATGCTTGCTGAGGAAAAACAGTCTAGACAAGGGGAGACAACATCAGAAGCTAACCTGTAGCTCCACCTAGTGGCAGGACATTGGCTTTTAAGCCAACGCCCTTAAGAACCCCCTTACCCAGCTGGGGAAAGGCTTGCCTAGTGGGTTTTGTTAGGTTGTCTGCCACTATGACAAATCACATGGCCGAACATCTTGAAAGGAGGAAGGATTTATTTTTGTCCATGATTTCAGAGGTTTCAGCCCACAGCTTGCAGCTGTGTTGATTCTGGGGCTGAAGTGAGGCACAACAGCTCAGTAGCTGGTGGACACAGACGCAGAGAGGAACCAGTTTTGAAATGTTTTGAAATGAGGATGAATAAAGCAATATGGCCCCTTATTGACTGCACAAGTGGTTCGAATTATTTAAAACGACTCTAAACAGTACATACAGCAGAGCCTGGTGACTTAGCAGCCTGATTCGTGTTCTGTTTATAGCATATTAAGAGGACCTTCAGAATAGACAGCATTGTATTAGGATCCTCAGGCTTTTAAAAGCTGTAGAGACCCATAGAGGTTTCCTAGTGAGAACTTACTCATGGTCTGAGAATCTGAGCTTGCTTTACCCAACAGGGCTGCATATGGAGATGATTTGAACATGGGTGTGTTTACCAGCTGTTTGGAAGGGTCTACACTTGGCTGTACACTATGCTTTGATCTGGGGAGGGGATCTTTTGCCTTGTCCCTTGGCATATTATAAAAAGCCTTTTGAGAAAACCTTTGAGGCCACTGGGTGTTGATCCAGGCGCTCCTGAAGCTGTCCTGTGTTTCTGTCTTTCTTCTCGTCAGCCAGGTCTCTCTATCTAATATTTTCTCTCGTATAAGAACCCTTCAAAAGGTGGGAGCTGGCTTCCCACAAAAAGAGTATAAAACCTATGTCAGTGGGACGTATCAAATATGATTACTACATGACAGCAGCTCCTTTAACGTCATTGTAAACCAAATATCACTGCAAAGGTTTTAAAGCAAATGGATGCTTAAATAGATATCAAGTCTCTTAAGATTTCATTCCCTAAAGCAAAACAAACTAACAACCAACCACACAAAAACCTAATGGGAAAATATCTCCATATATAAGAAGTTGTTCTACAAACTTAACTAAGAGCAGACCAACATTCTAAGGAAGGCTTGTTATATTAAAAATAAACAACTTGATTCTTGTTTTTTATCTACATATTAAAATTTTACCTTAAACCCTCTAAAAACAACTTCCTGGCTGTCTAATTACATATAAAATTTATTTTACTTAGGGTTTTTATTGCAGTGATAAAAATCACCATGGCCAAGAGCAACTTGGGGGAAGAAAGGGTTTATTTCATCTTATCGCTTGTAGTCCATTATCCAGAGAAGATGAGACAGGAACCTGGAGGCAGGAGCCGATGCAGAGGCCATGGAGGGGAGCTGCTTACTGGCTTGCTCCTCATGGCTTGTTCAGCCTGCTTTCTTATAGAACCCAGGACCATCAGTGCAGGGCTGGCATCAACCACAATGGCCTGGGCCCTCCCACATCGACCACTAATTTAACAAGGACAACACAGGCCAGTCAGGTGGGGGCATTTTCTCAACTGAGTTCCCTCTTTCCAGATGGTTCTAGCTTGTGCCTGTTGTCATCAACTTTTCAACATAAATCTTTTCATTTAATCTTTGATAAATCTCCTAAAATGGGTCAGAACGATAACTTACTTAGCTTCTTAATTACAACAAAATGTAATCCTTAAATTGTTATAAAACAATACCATTCTAGAAATCAAAAACCACATGTATACTATCAATACTTAAAATCATTTGTCACAGGGATGGAGAGAGAGCTGAGTGACAGAGTGCTTGCCCTGCAGAAGACTCACCCAATCCTCAGCACTATCAAAACAAACAAACAAATAAATAAATAAAATCTTTTTTTTCTCTTGGCCAACTTTAGGCTTAGGACAAAGAAAGGAAGACCAAACAAAATTATATTTCTTGAGTTTAAGAATTCTGATAAGAGGCTGGATAAATGGCTCAGTGGTTGAGCATATACTGTTCTTGCAGAGGGCTGAGTTTGATTCCTAGCACCCATGTTGGGCAGCTCACAACTGCCTGTAACTCCAACTCCAAGAAATCCAGCACCCTCTTCTGGATTCTGTGGGCATCTGTATTCACACATACACAAACACCACACACACACACACACACACACACGCACACGCACACGCACACGCACACGCACACACACTCACATAATTAAAAATAGAATAAATCTTTAAAAATGAATTCTGATAGTCATGCATACTAGTTAGTTACAAACTTTTTATAATTTAGTCTATGCTTACAGTTAGTATATAGTTTCACTTAAGGACTTCTAAATATTGATTAACTGGTTAATATTTACTTATGCTTACATCTGTGCTCCAGACAATTGTGCCATTACTGATGCAAACATGGCATGTTCATTAAAAACGTAACACCTACAGGGTGTGAAAAGCTCAAGATTTTTGTTTTTGAAATTTGCAAGTTTTTTGTACATTATGAAGATGATTGTTTTAGAGACTTTGTCTCTAATCTAAGAAAAGACTACCCAGGAAAACAGCAGCCACCTACCTGCTGCTGAGAGGTGAGCCCCTTATGGCAATCCTCTCTGGGCCCTATTGTCTATTGCTGTCAGGGAACACAAATGAACCTGCTTCATTAAGAGGCCAGTTGAGTTCAGTTATTAATTCTCCTTAGAATAGTTTAAAGCAGTCTTTACTAGTGGGCCTCTACATGAAAACAGGAAGAAATTTTTCTAAAATCGACTGCTACCTAAAATAGACGGTCGTATTTTACAACTTAAGTGCAAATGAGTTGCCCTTGCATAATTATTAAAGCTAGGGTAGTTAAGAACGGCAAACAAACATGACAGTTATTTTTAAACTGCATTGCTCTAGCTTATATTGGATGCAAGTGATCTTTAAATACAGCCTCTATTTCGAGAGATACATAATTCCTCTGGAATCTGGAATAGTTGTTTACTGTTACAAAGATCAGAGCTGTTTCTTGATATTATGTCACAATGTGTTTTGATAGCCTATGAAACACAGTAGACCTAAATGTATTATCATCTCATGGATTTTTAAGACACCAAAAGACTTGGGTACATACTTAACAAATGATGTTTTACTATTTTAACATATTTATAAATGACTCAGAGGTTTTACTTCTAATATATATGAATATCTATCACATCTTATATTTAATTTATTTTTGGCAGGTGTTAAGATATTCCTTTTATTTGCCAACAAATTTAAATTAACCCATTTGTCAGAGATTTTCTTAAGTTTAAATTTCAGTCATAAGACAAAGCAACATAGTAAAATTTTATGTACAATAACTTGGCTTAAAAATAAAACAAACAAAGCAAAACTCCACAACTTTTACCTTTTTTTCTAGTCCCAAACAGGCTGAGTTAATTCTTTGGATATTTTCATTCTAGCCAGGAATGGCTGAGTAACAGTTACCAAGTGACTGAACAACAGATTATTTTAGCAGAGAATAAAAACCAGATAGGGAGCCAAAACTTACAACCACCAAAACCAAAAACAAACACATATAAATTACATGTCAATATAGATAAGATACACTAAGTACATCTCATATTTATAAATAAATAAATCTGAGTGCACAGACCTAAAAAGGTGAATTCACCAGGGGGAAAAAAAGCTTAAGTTCAAAAAGTCAGAAACTTCTGTGGCTGCGGCAGCCAGACACTTCTGAGGCACAGTCAGTCTGTCACATAGGAGTACTCTCTCAGACACACAGCATGCTGCAGGGCTCATCATAATTTCTCTAGGGAGTTCCTTCTCATGCCAACCACAGGGCTCTCTAAACCCTCTGGGTCCCTGTTGGATGACTCAGTTTGGTGGGAACAGCACAGACCGTAAACAATCCAAACTTCCTTTCAGATAGTTCAAAGGGAACCCCAAATTGACCCAATAAATAATCCCCAATTTACCTCAAAGGAATCCTCAAATACAAACAGACATGCGTGCATGCACATATGCACACAGGCGTGTACACATGCATGCACACACAGGCACACATACACACACAACACACACACACACATGTGTGCATGCACACATATAGACGCGTGCATGCACTAGGACACACGCACAAGAGGGGACCTGACATGCCCACCCCTGAGAAGACACTCAGGAAACTGACTTTGGGCTTACAGTTTTCAAAACACTTACTTTTTCCTGTGGTACCACACACTGCAAAGGGCCATCCATGTTGGCACAGAAAGAAGGGATGCCCCCAAACCAAACTAGATTTCAAAGCTGCAGGGGCGACTTCCGTTCTCCCCTTTTGTTCAGGGTCAGTGAGCGAGTGAAAACCCTGTAGTTGTGTTGTCCCTCAATGTTTGACAAATTCTGTTACCTAAGTTCCTGCCCAAAGGGCCTGCTCCTGGGTCCAGTCATTCGGCCACATTAAGAGATATCAATGTAAAATACATAAAACAGAGAAAGGGCTTTGTTTAGAGTTTGGGTCAGAATGGGGGGTGTGGAGGGTGGAGAGTCACTTGTAGTCTGCCTCTGCCTTCCCCACAGCAGTGTCTACTGAAGGGATGGCCGGAAGCCAGGAGACCTGCCTCAGTAGATCCAGCTGGGTGTCCCAGTGGGCACTACTCTTGCCTCTTTGGATTCTTGTTGCTTCTTCCTGGCTTCGGGAATTTTAGGAAGGGCCGAGATCCTGTCTCTACTCCAAGTGTCTTGTTTCCTGTTGGAACCTGAAATGAAAACGAAAAAAAAAATTAATATCTCTTAATTTGGGGGGAACACTGCTGCACTGCTTAGGCCTGTGCGGGCCAGCAGCACGTGGAACCTCAGCCCGCAACCTCCGGCTGTATGCCTGCCTCAGCTTCTCATGCAGTTCCAACCGCAGCCCAGCAGACAGATGCTCCTGGCTGAAAGCACCAGCAGACATCAAAAGCTCCCCCCCCCCCACATCCCCCGTCATTTATTGGCCCTCCATTGCATCCTGTCCAACACAAGTCCCCGGCCAAGTTGCTTCCTTCCCTGAGGGAACTGTCTCCTTAAGTTGCACCCTAGTCTGCTGTTCCTTTATGAAGGCGGGTGGTGCTGGGAAACCGAGGGCCTGGTGCATGCGCTCTGCCACTGAGAGGCATCCCCCCCCCCTTCTGCTCTTTAGAGTCTTGTTAGTCCCTACCATTCCTCCCATTCAGTCTTTCCTATTTCAGATTGCTTTGTAGTTCCCGAAGGACATGTCCTGCACTAGCCACCTGGATGCTACAAGGAAGATTCTTCTTCTTTATGTTTTCTTTCTGTCATATCTGAAGGGCAGCAGCCAGCTAGAGCGTGTGGCTCGGGCAGGCCTCGCCCTGCTCCCCCGTTCCCTCTGCCTTGCTAAAAACCATTAGAGTACATCCCTAAAGCTAGCCACCGAGGTTTGCTCCCTTACTTGGCTACTTCCTCCTCCTGAAGCTGACGACCAAAGTCCAGGTATCAGAAGCCCCCTTAGGCTCACCAGATTAACATGCCCAATTAAAATAAACACCCCATCCTAACCCAGGGTTTCCCCTTCACCTTTATAAACCATCATCTGTCTATGTGTCACATTGCTCTCCTCTCTATACCCCTCTCCCCTCTCCATTGTCCCCTTCCCCCTCATCCTCTGTCTCCTCTACCACAGCATCCTAGCCCACTCTGACACAGACCTCCCCTTTTTCTCTCTTCTTAAGAATGACACCTACAAGGTCATTTGCTGCTGTTTTCTGCCTGAGTCAGAAAACAGCCATTTTAATTTTTCTTACCCACTTAATAAAGGATCTGTCTGTGAAAACAGGTGTTGGGGTGTGGTTTGTGTCTAATCCAGGGCCTGGGAGGGAGTCCTTCCTAGTTGCGCAGGAGTCCCCTTCAATTTAGATGCTTCTTTTTACTAGTGACAGTTGCATGGGTCAGAACAAAATTAACCCAAATGATGGAGATATATTTGTAGGACTGCCAAAACAACACCACAGACTAGGTGGAGTAAGCAACACTCATTTATTGCATGCAGTCTGGAGGCTAGAAGTCCAAAGTGAAGGACACCTTTCAGTAGCTGGTAGATGGCTGTCTTCATGTCCCCATGGCATCCTTTCTCTGTGCCTGTGCCCAACTTTCCTCTTCTCCCAAGGAAAAGTCATGTTGCATTGGGGCCCATTCTCTTGACCTCATTGCAAGTTAACCTCCCAATACAGATGCCTTTTGAGGTACTGATGATTGTGGTTTGGCTTATGAATACATGGGGATACAAATCACTCCATAAGGAAAGATGTCTAGAGAAAGGTGTTACTGTGCAGTATGCTCTCTGAAAACAGAGTCAGTTTGCCTGTTCTCCCCAGGAGACCTGAGCCTGCTGAGCAGGGTATGACAAAGGGGAGAATGAAGGAGGAGAGGAAGGAGAGGAGAGATCACGGAGCTTCTGTGCACTTCTAAGGATGATAGATATTTCTGATGATACCCAGACAGAGGACACTTACAAAACCCTGGAAGGTCATAGAATGGCTGGATACTGAGCAGGCTAATGAGGAACTGACCAGCTGTACCAGAAGGGACCTGCTAAGTGGCCTGACAGTGAAGCAGTGGGGTCTGAGTGTGGCAGTTTGAATGAGAATGGCCCCAGAGGCTCATATATTTGAATACCCAGTCTGCAGTTGGTGGAACTGCTTGGGAAGGATTTGGAGGTGTGGCCTTATTGGAGGAGGTGTGTCATTGGGTTGGACTTTGAGGTTTTTAAAGCCATTCTCAGTGTGCCTCTCTCTTTCAGCCTCTAGCTTGAAGATCAAGACATGAGCTCTTAGTTGTTCCTCTGTTCCACTCTCATGGACACTAGCCCTCTGAAACCATAAGCCACATTAAATGCTTTCTTTTGTAAGCACTGCTCTCCATTTCCATCTGACCCATTTGCTCTGGGCCAGTGTCTCCCACTAAACCTGAAGCTCACCAATTTAGCTGGGCTGGCTGGCCAGTGAGCCCGAGATCCTCCTGTCTCCACCTCCCTGGGACTAGACTACAGGCATGCCGGGGCTGCACACAGGCTTAAATGGGTGCTGGGGATTGAACTCAGGTACTCATGCTTGTGTGGCAAGCATGTTGCCAACTGACACCATGTCCCCAGCTGCACAGTCACACTTAAAAAATGAGATTATAGCTTGACTTCCCTGCCACACATGTTCTCTTCACTGGTGGAGTTCCTTCCTGATGCCACATATTTGCAAGCTGCTCATCTCTAGAGATGTGTTGATATCTAGAGTATATTATAAGGAGAGTCACAAGGATTAGCTAAGGCTAAGTTTTCAAAATTAATATTAGGTCTCAGTGTCATTATTGGGGAGCTGGAAGTCCCACAAAGGAAAGTCTGACTACATTTGAGAAAGCTTACTACAACCCCCAGCTGGACTTTGCTCTGTTAACATTCATATTGCCTTGGGCATTGCTTTCAAATGCTTCCTGTAACTGTGATTGGTGAATATATTAACTTTTTGAAGAACCTCCTTTGGTACTGTAGTCCTGCCAAGTTTTCTCTACTCATCATTTTACCTAAGTGAAGTGTGAGCTAGCAGCTTGAATGTGTAGTGCTTTCACAAGAGCGTCACCACTGGAAAAAAAATAATTTTTCATTAATAATGCATTAAATGTTCCAAAGATGTTTTCTAAAGATTATCACATAACAATCCACTAGATACATTAAAGCAATTTTCTTATGAAAAATTTATTAGTACAAATATTAACTTCTGTGAATATATGTAGAATATTCATCTGGGCTTAACCAAGGAATGGACCAATAGGAGAGGGGGAGAAAAGGATAGCTGTAGATCCATAAGACAGGATTGATTATGAGATTGTCTTACTCATATGGAGGCCAAGAGGTGTCATGGAACCGATATGTTGTCATGGAAACCAGTGGTGTGATTCCTCTGCACCTGGAGGTCTGAGAAGCTGTGGGGGGGTGGGGGTTGTTGGCTGAAGCCAAAGATCCAGGAGCCTGGTGCTCTGCCCTCTGAGATGGGAGAAGGTGGGAACCCCAGCTCCAGGGAGAAAGCTGGTTTCCCTTTCTTCCTCTGTTGTGTTCTACCCAGGCCAGGTACATGATGGTTGGAATGCTGCCAGAGGGCGGTGGAGGTGGGGTGACTGGCAAGAGTGGGGGTGACAGTTATGAGGACGGGGTGTTGGTGGTGTTGGTGGTGATGGTGATGGTGGTGATGGTGGTGAGGGTGGTGAGGTTGGTGATGGTGGTGATGGTGGTGATGGTGATGATGGTGGTGAGTGTGGTGATGGTGGTGATGATGGTGATGGTGGTGATGGTGATGGTGGTAATGGTGGTGAGGGTGGTGATGGTGATGGTGGTGATGGTGGTGATGGTGGTGGTGATGGTGGTGATGGTGGTGATGGTGGTGATGGTGGGGTGGCTATCCACTCTAGAAGCATCCTCACAGATGCAGAAACTGTGGGTGTGTTAGTTACTTTTGAAGTAGCCGTGGCAACAATACCCGACGTGAGTGAGCGACTTACAGGAGGGAGGTCTGTCGGGCGGGGCTCATGGTAGAGAGCACAGTCCATCATGGTGGAAGACACGGCGGTTGGAGCAGTCAGTCCGTGGCAGCAGCTTGGAGGGTTAGAAAGCACAGGAAATAGGAACCAAGAGCCGGAAATCACTTTGAGACCACCAAGACTGACCCACTTCTGTCTATTAGGCCACAGTCCCAAAGATTTCACAATCTCCCTAAACAGGACCATCAGCTGCAGAGCAGGTGCTTCAACAGATGCCTGGAGGGTACACTGCACATTCAAACACAACACCAGCTCCTGGGGATTCACTGGGTAGTCCAATTAACCATCATATAATTCAATGCAAAGTGGTAAAGATTCTAAGGTGAAACACTAAACTATTACACTACTTTGCCCTAGTTGTCAGAAATCTTTTTGTTTGTTTGACAGTGTCTGCATAGCCCTGGATGTCCTGGAATTTGCTGTGTAGATCAGGTTGGCCTGAAATTCACCAAAATCCACCTGCCTCTGCCTCCTAAGTATTGGGATTAAAGGCATGAGCCACCACGCCTGGCTGGAAATCTTTTTTAAGATTAGAAAACAGAAATGGAGAACTATTAGGAAAGGAAAGTATTTGGGTGTTTGAACATATTTTTTTGGAAAAGATACAAGGCATACCAGAGGAAAATGAAGACTTGAAAGGCTTGAGTGTGTCACCCATGGGCCTCCTCTGCCTCTGTTTGTAACACTGAAGAACAGTGGGGAATACAAGAACAGAAGAAATTACCATAAACTGAAGGGGCTTCAATCCCTGGAACAATCAACCCACTGCGGGGCACAACAGAGACTCTTGCTGAGGACTGAGCCCTCTGAAAACATTCAGCTTCCCCAAGACAAACACAGGAGACAGAGAGTCACACAGGAGACAGACAGACAGAGTCACACAGGACACAGACAGACACAGTCACACAGGAGACAGACAGACAGAGAGTCACACAGGAGACAGACAGACAGAGTCACACAGGACACAGACCTACAGTCACACAGGACACAGACAGACAGAGTCACACAGGACACAGACAGACAGAGAGTCACACAGGAGACAGACAGAGAGTCAGTCACACAGGAGACAGACAGACAGAGAGTCACACAGGACACAGACAGACAGAGAGTCACACAGGACACAGACAGACAGAGAGTCACACAGGACACAGACAGAGAGTCACACAGGGGACAGACAGACAGAGTCACTAGGACACAGACTGAGAGTCACTGTGTTAATCTTATGGAGACATTTCCCAGTTGAGGCTCCCTCCTCTCTGATGACTTTAGCTTGTGTCAAGTTAACATAAATCTCGCCGGCACCACTGACCCCTTGACACACACACATCAATTTTCATTTAGAGCCTTTCCTTTCTCATTTATCCCCAAGATGGAATATTAATATTGATATCAATATAAAACATAAATAACTTTAAAAGTCCTTACAAATTCAAACATATTAAATGCTCAGTCTCTTTAAAATATTCAAGTTCTTTAAAAATCCAAAATCTCTTTCAAAAGGTCAAAGTCTTTCAACTGTGGGCTCCTATAAAATAAAAATTATGATTGTGGTGGTATTTTACTTGTACTGAAATGTGATTTTAATTGTATGTTAATAAATAAAGTTGCCTGGGGGTCAGAGCTATTAGAGCCATAGCAAGTGCGTGGCGGCGGTGGCGCACGCCTTTAAGGACCTGGAGGGCGGTACATACAGGCAGTGACGAGGCAGTCACGTGTTTGGGTTTACAACCAATGAGAAGGCAGAACAGCTAGACTATATAAAGACATACACACAGGAAGTAGGTCCCTTTCGGAGAGCTCTCTTGACTGAAGAGGATCACTGAATCAGGAAGGGTGAGGCTCTTAGCTCTGACCTCTTGGCTTTCTTCTCTGAATTGGCTCTGTGTTTCTTATTTAATAAGACGGTTGGTTACATCTACATTTGGTGCCCAACGTGGGGCAAGAGTTTCCACCTAAAAACTGAGAAAAAGATTCTAGAATGGAGCTAAAAACAGTTCCTAATTGTCTCTCTCAAATGAGCAGCAGCTTCCGGTTTGAGCTACTGGCGGGTTCCTAGCATGCGCACTCGATCTGTATGGCGGGAATGAGGCCTCTGGAAGTGGCACATTAAGCTGTGTGGTGGATTTAGCCTTTGCTAGTACAAAACAAAAAAAAAAGAGGTTTCTAGGCTACATGCTGCTTTGATAGAAGCATAGACCCACTATTTCTGAGAGTTGATGGCTCCCAGAGCTGGCAGAAAATGTACCACCGCCATGTTGGGAAGCTGAAGTGGGCAGAGCCAGCAGCCACAGCACCAGCGCCGTTTCAGGCTTAGAAGGCTGCAGTTTAAAGCAATAGGCTCAAGCTAATATAAAAAATAAGCCACATAAAGATGGCTACCACACAGAGAATCTGGATTATGTTCTCTTTGATATTCATAACTGAAGAAAAACATTTGATTACAAAAGCTGTTAAGTTATGCCAAAATGTATATTTTAAAGGTACCTTGACTTCAAAATTTGGATGTAAGGATATGTTGCTTTGGAAAGGAGGCTCTGCTTTTGTTTCCACAAAAAGCTAGAGGCTATGGATTTGTTCCAGATTAAGATACATCAGGTTTGACCAGCCAAGACCCCCTGAAAGGTCTCCAATGACACCATGGCCCAGATGATCCAACATCCAGAATGGTTTCAAGGCAACTGGCTCAGACGATACAACCTCACAGACTACTCCATGATCCAAAAATTTCTTTGGGTCCCCATAAGATACAGCGCCCCCCTCCAGCAGGAAGTAGTAAGAGAAGCTACGCCCAAATTCCCAAATTATATGTAATTTTACTTTGTTAAGGTTAAAACCTTCCTTTTTGAAAAAAAAAAAGTGGTGGAAGTGCTATGGGATGGTCTGTATGTCAAGTGTGTTGCTGATTGGTCAATAAATAAAACACTGATTGACCAGTGGCTAGGCAGGAAGTATAGGCGGGACAAGGAGGAGAATAAAGCTGGCAAGTGGAAGGCTGAGTCAGGGAGTCACTGCCAGCTGCCACGATGAGAAACAGCATGTGAAGATGCCGGTAAGCCACGAGCCATGTGGCAAGGTATAGATTAATGGAAATGAATTAATTTAAGCTGTAAGAACAGTTAGCAAGAAGCCTGCCATGGCCATACAGTTTGTAACCAATATAAGTCTCTGTGTTTACTTAGTCAGGTCTGAGTGCCTGTGGGACTGGCAGGTGAGAGAGATTTGTCCTGACTGTGGGCCAGGCAGGAAAACTCTAGCTACAAATGATAAACACTTTCTTCAAGAGGGATGAACCAGGGCTCAGTCACAATCAGATCAAAGCAAAAGCAAACTCAGTGTAAATAACACAACGTCCAATTGCCTGGGATTCACTCACAGTCTTCTGGGCTCCTCCAAGGGCTTGGGTCATTTCTCCAGCTCTGCCCTCTGCAGCACACACAGCTCATCTTCTAGGCCCCGGCTGGCTCCACCCCACTGCTGCTGCTGTTCTTGACTGTCATCCCATGGTACTAGCATCTCCAAAACTCCACAATCTTGTCCCACAGCAGTTTTCTGATGCAACATTTTCAGCAGTCACAAGAGGGCACCGCAAGAAAAGATAACAGGACCACACAGATCATCTGCTTCTGAAATGCACACAAGCATGCTCACATGGATGTGTCTGTGCACACCAATACCTCTACTCACATGTGCATGCTCACACACAGAAACACATGCATGCACACACAGTTCACAAACATACTCACACAATCTTGCATGCACACACACACATACACTCACATGTGTGCTCACACAAAGGCACACACACACTTGTATTCTCATAATACACACATGCACATGAACATTCACACACATGCATACAGAAGGAAATTGTTTCGTCTCACTTTAATTATGCTCAGGTTACTGAGGTTAAAATTGCTGAGTGAGAGGATGACAGCCCTTATGCTGGCCCCTTGCAGTTTTCCTGAGCAGTGGGAGGTTTGCATCCAACACTCACTGCTCAGCATTAGAACCCTACAAGTGGTACCTCAAAGGAGCGCCAACGTCGGGGTCATTCTCCCACACTCGTGACAAATAGTGATTTGTGTTTTCCTGGTTAATAGAGAAAAGTAAAATCCATCGTTAATATGTCCAGCCCTTTCTAGCTAAAATAATCCTGTCACCCACTGAGCTCTGCTCCGTCCTGAACACACTGACAGGAGACTGACCAGTGTCCACAGAGCTGCTGAAGTCAGCCACTGACTTCAGAGACAGGGGTGGCATTTACCTTCCTGTGCCACAAAACCGATTTCAGCGTGGTTGAGGAAGTGCTTGGGAGCTGCCCTGATGGCTCAGGATCGTGCTCGCCTGAACTTTTCTCGATTCTGATTCTCCGGGGTGCAGTCAGCAGCCTGCAGAATGTGGCTGATGTGTGAGATGGGAGTCTCCATCTTCCTGATTTGTCTAGAGTGAGCCCGGTGTGTGCCACCTGCATCCCTGATTGCCTATAGATTGTGATGTATTGGAAATCAGGAAAAACTTGAGCTGTAGCATAAAATGAGAACCCCCAAAGAGTCCAACCAAAAGTCGTAGCCCCTCGTATGATGGTGCAATGACTCTACAAACCAGGAGTTAGGAGACATGAGGCAGACTCACAGCTCCTGCCTCTGCCCCACAGAGTCAGTAGCAACACAGGAAATGACAGCAGCAGGACTTCACCTTTGCTTTTCTATCAGTCTCTTTATGTGGCTCAGACTGGCCTTGAACTCTCAATCCTAGACGTGCTTTTCCAGTTTGGGGATTGCATGTGTGTGCACTATGACTAACTCCAGCCTTCAATTTTTAACTTAAATTACATTTTAAAAAAAACCACCTTTTTTAAATATAGGGTTTCATTATGTAGCCCTGACTGGCCTGAAACTTGCTATGTAGGCCAGGCTGGTCTCAAACTCAGAGATTTGCCTGCCTCTGCTTCCATGTGCTACCACACCTAGCCCCAGGTTTCTATTAAAATAACAACAACAAAATCTTAGAATATTTTAGAGAGAGAGAGAGAGAGAGAGAGAGAGAGAGAGAGAG